TGCAGTTTAATTAACATTTTCCATGTTTTTTTTTTTAAAATGATAGAACCAATTAGGAAATGACATTTAAAGCTCAGGAACAGAAATCGTGTTCCATAATGTTATAGCTTCCTAGGATCAGATCTTAAGCAGTGTGGCTGCACTATTGTACTCCTGGGAGGAAATGGGATTGCCTATGCTAATGAACAGTTAACTCCAATAAGGAACTTCCTTATGCTGTTCAAGGCAAGGTAGTTTCCTGAAGGCCCTTAGACCTTCCTTGATTGCATTACTAAGCACTCAATGCTTTTTTTAAAGGACATGATTGAAACATGGCTCATGCAGTTTACTAACTGCCTACAACTAGCACAGGGGGCTCAGTAGGGCAGCAATTTGTAGAGACTTGCACCTGTGCTGAACAACAACTGTCAGAGAGAAGGATTGTCCTCCCAGTCCCTTGGCATTACGTATGAGCTCTAATATCCGTGCAAAACGGGCAGAGGAAAGGAAGACGATGACAGGAACAGACTCTCGGTGCCAAAAATATGGTAAATAAATAAAAAAATCTATATAAATAAAAATGTAATGTTCGTTTGTGGGGTTAACATAACTCAAAAACCACTGGACAAATTGACACCAAATTTGGACACAATACACCTATCAGGTCAATGAGTAACCATCACTTAAAAATTGATTTTGTCATTTGGGAGTTGTAGTTGCTGGGATTTATAGTTCACCTACAATCAAAGTGCATTCTGAACCCCGCCAAAGATGGAATTGAACCAAACTTGGCACACAGTTCTCCCATGACCAACAGAAAATACTGGAAGGGTTTGGTGGACAGTGTCCTTTGGTTTTGGAGTTGTAGTTGTATATCCAGAGATCACTTTGGACTCAAACAATGTTGGATCTGGACCAAACTCTACACGAATATTCCATATGCCCAAATATGAACACAGATGGAGTTTGGGGAAAATAGAATCTTGACATTTGGGAGTTGTAGTTGCTGGGATTTATAGTTTAACTACAATCAAAGAGCATTCTGAACCCCACCAACGATAGAATTGGGCCAAACCTCCCACACAGAACCCCCATGTGGGCCATAGCAACGTGTGCCAGGGGACGGCTAGTCTATATAAATAAAAATGTAATGTTCGTTTGTGGGATTAACACAACTCAAAAACCACTGGACAAATTCCCACACAGAACAAGACACCTAACAACCCAATGTATGTCCTTCACTAAAAAAAATAAATGATTTTGTCATTTGGGAGTTGTAGTTGCTGGGATTTATAGTTCATCTACAATCAAAGAGCATTCTGAACCCCACCAATGATTAAATAGAATCAAACGTGGTCCGCAGGATTCCCATGACCAACAGAAAACACTAGAAGGGGTTGGTGGGCACTGACCTTGAGTTTGGGAGTTGTAGTTCACCTACATCCAGAGAGCACTGTGGACTCAAACAATGATGGATCTGGACCAAACTTGGCACAAATATCCCACATGCCCAAATATGAATACAGATGGAGTTTGAGGGAAATAGACCTTGACATTTGAGAATTGTAGTTACAGGGATTTATAGTTCACCTACAATCAAAGAGCATTCCGAATTCCACCAATGATGGAATAGAATCAAACGTGGCACACAGGATCACTCAAAAATTTGAGTTTGTCATTCGGGAGTTGTAGTTGCTGGGATTTATAGTTCGCTTACAATCAAAGAGCATTCCGAACCCCACCAATGATTAAATAGAATCAAACGTGGCACGCAGGATTCCCATGACCAACAGAAAACACTAGAAGGGCTTGGTGGACACTGACCTTGAGTTTGGGAGTTGTAGTTCACCTACATCCTGAGAGAACTGTAGACTCAAACAATGATGGATCTGGACCCAACTTGGCACAAATATTCCATATAATGAAATATGAGCACAGATGGAGTTTGGGGGAAAATAGGCCTTGACATTTGGGAATTGTATTTACTGGGATTTATAGTTCACCTACAATCAAAGAGCATTCTGAACCCCACCAATGATGGAATAGAATCAAGCATGGCACACAGGACTCCCCTGACCAACGGAAAATACTAGAAGGGGTTGGTGGCACTGACCTTGAGTTTGGGAGTTGTAGTTCACCTACATCCTGAGAGAACTGTGGACTGATATTTGTCTTGACTGTTCTAATGTAGCACAAATCCTATGTAAAATCATACTACGTATTTTTGACATTAATATTGAAATCTGAAATATGGATCTGGACCAAACTTGTCACAAATAGTCCATATGCCCAAATATGAATACAGATGGAGTTTGACATTTGGGAGTTGTAGTTACTGAGAGTTATAGTTCACCTACAATCAAAGAGCATGCTGAATCCCACCAATGACAGATATGGGGCAAACTTCCCACACAGAACCCCCATGACCAACAGAAAACACTAGAAAGGGTTGGTGGACACTGACATTAGGTTTGGGAGTTGTAGTTCACCTACATCCAGAGAGTACTGTGGACTCAAACAATGATAGATCAATGATTGGCATAAATATTCCATATGCCCAAATATGAGCACCGATGGAGTTTGGAGGAAAATAGGCCTTGACATTTGGGAGTTGTATTTACTGGGATTTATAGTTCACCTACAATCAAAGAGCATTCTGAACCCCACCAACAATAGAATTGGGGCAAACTTCCCACACAGAACCCCCATGACCAACAGAAAACACTAGAAGGGGTTGGTGGGCACTGACCTTGAGTTTGAGAGTTGTAGTTCACCTACATCGAGCGAGTGCTGTGGACTCAAACAATGATGGATCTGGACCAAACTTAGCACAAATATTCCATATGTCCAAATATGAATACAGATAGAGTTTGAGGGAAATAGACCTTGACATTTGAGAATTGTAGTTACTGTAGTTCACTTACAATCAAAGAGCATTCCGAACTCCACCAATGATTAAATAGAATCAAACGTGGCACGCAGGATTCCCATGACCAACAGAAAACACTAGAAGGGGTTGGTGGGCACTGACCTTGAGTTTGGGAGTTGTAGTTCACCTACATCCTGAGAGAACTGTGGACTGATATTTGTCTTGACTGTTCTGATGTAGCAGAAATCCTATGTAAAATCATACTACGTATTTTTGGCATTAATATTGAAATCTGAAATATGGATCTGGACCAAACTTGGCACAAATATTCCATATGCCCCAATATGAATACAGATAGATTTTGAGGGAAATAGACCTTGACATTTGTGAGTTGTAGTTACTGGGATGTATAGTTCACCTACAATCAAAGAGCATTCTGAATCCCACCAATGACAGAATTGGGGCCAACTTCCCACACAGAAGTCCCACGACCAACAGAAAATACTTAAAGCCATCCAGTCCCACTCCCTTCTCCAGGGCAAGATTTATGGTTCACCTACAATCAAAGAGCATTCTGAATCCCACCAATGACTGATTTGGGGCAAACTTCCCACACAGAACCCCCATGACCAACAGAAAATATTTAAGGCCATCCAAGGCAAGGAAACCTAATCAAAGACCTCCTGACAAAGAGCCATCTAGCCATAGATATATATCAGTGGTTCTCAACCTTCCTAATGCCGCGACCCCTTAGTACAGGTCCTCATGTTGTGGTGACCCCCAACCATAATATTATTTTCGTTGCTACTTCACAACTGTAATTTTGCTACTGTTATGAATGGTAATCTAAATATCTCATATGCAAGATGTATTTTCAGTCACTGAACCAAATTTGGCACAAATACCCAATACTCCCAAATTTGAATACTGGTGAGATTGGGGGTGATTGATTTTGTCATTTGGTAATGCTGGAGTTGCTGGGATTTATAGTTCGCCTAAAATCAAAGAGCCTTCTGAACTCCACCAATGATGGAATTGAATCAAACTGGGCAGACAGAATTCCCATGACCAAAAGAAAATACTGGGAAGGTCTGGTGGACATTGACCTTGAGTTTTTTGGAGTTGTAGTTCACCTACATCCAGAGAACACTGTGGACTCAAGCAATGATGGATCTGGACCAAACTTGGCACAAATACTCAATATGCCCAAATGTGATCACTGGTAGAGTTTGGAGAAAATAGACCTTGCCATTTGGGAGTTGTAATTGTTGGGATTTATAGTTCACCCGCAATAAAATAGCATTCTGAACCCCACTGATAGAATTGGACCAAACTTTCCACACAGAACCCCCACGACCAACAGAAAATACTATGTTTTCTGATGGTCTTTGGTGACCCCTCTGACACCCCCTTGCGACCCCCATGGGGGTCCCGACCCCCAGTTTGAGAAACACTGATATATATGATTCACACACACAGATATAATATCATAGATTAGAAAGGGACCCCTAAAGAAGGACGATTATATGTTGCATGTTCCAGAGTAGGCAAACCAGACAATCTCCACATCAACACTGACAGAGAAGCAGCAAGAAATACTGTTTACCCACACGCAGAAAGAAATTACATATATTAGAAACCAACACTTTCTCATTACTTTATTTTCCAGATCACCAGACTGGGCCACAGCAATGTGTGGCAGGGGACGGCTAGTGAGTCTAAATAATAATAATATGGACCTATTCCCAAACAGATGCAGCCCCAGGATCCCAAGGTAGGCATGGACAAACTTTGGCTCTCCAGGTGTTTTGGACTTCATCTCCCACAATTCCTAACAGCCGCTAACCTGGCTGGGATTTCTGGGAGTTGGAGTCCAAAACACTTGCTCATGCCTGTCTCCTGAAATACTTGTAAGTCTATTCAGAGAAGCGATCAGCCTATCCCCACAGGGGAGGCCACTACTAGGCTGCACTGCCAACCCAAGTTGTAGCCTGGCACAGGCTCTCCCGCCCAGCCAATGGCCCAAGCCACTCAGGAAGCGCCCACACTTGCCAAAGGGGACGGCCAAGGGGTTGTTGGGTCGGGGCGCGAAGGTCCTGATGGCGGCGAGGGGCACGGGGAGGGGGAGCGCCTCTCTGGGGCGCCGCCTCACCTTGGCCTCGAAGGCGATGCCGTGCTGGAAGGCGTCGTCGTTGTGCGGCGGGAGGCGCGGGTCGTGGCGGTCCTCCACCAGGCTGTAGCGGGATCGGACCGAGGGAGAGGCGCCCACCGGCATGGCGCCTCCGGGAACCCAGCAGGACAGCCAGCGCGAAGGGCAGCCCGAGCAGCAGAAGAAGCAGAGGGAGGAGGAGGAGGAGGAAGGAGGGGCCGGAGAGAGGAGGAGGAGGAGCCCGCTTGGCCACCCGCCGGACTCTCACCCCCTCCCTCCCTCCCTCCCTTCCTTCCCGCGAGATTCCTGAGGCAAAGCTTCCCTTCCAGGGCTGGAACAGGAGGGTCGCTCTCACTGCTCGGGGGTTTCTTTGTGGAAAGAAGCAGTGGAAGGACCCGGGAGGGCTGCACTTAGGGGCAAGGGTTTCCCCTCCTTGTCGACACCCACAGATCATCTGGGACTGGCAGATCATCTGGATAGTGTAGAATAGAACACGAAGAAGAAACTCAAGTCATTTTATGGTTGGAGGTCACTGTATGAAGGTTGGGAAACAGTGATCTATGTAAAGAAGTTTCAAGGCAAAAGAGAAGGAGAAGAGATCCAGCCTAGGTTTCAAATTCCCCCTCCTTGGTCATCCAAACCCACTCGGTGACGTTGGGCAAGTCACACTTTCTCAGCCTTAGAGGAAGCCAGGGACAAACCCAGGAACATAGCTGCTGCTGCTTCCTCCTCCTCCTCCTCCTCCTCTTCTTCCTCTCCTCCTCCTCATCCTCTTCTCCATCCTCTTCTTCCTCCTCCTCCTCCCCCTCCTCCTCCTCTTCTTCTTCTTCCTCCTCCTCCTTCCCTCTCCTCTTCCTCTTCTCTCTTCTACTTCCTCCTCCTCCTCTTCTTCCTCTTCTTCCTCCTTCTCCTCTTCTTCTTCCTCTTCCTGCTCCTCCTCCACCGCTTCTTCCTCCTCCTCTTCTTCCTCTTCCTCCTCCTCTTCTTCCTCCTCTTGATCCTCTTCCTCCTCCTCCTCCTCCTCCTCTTCTTCTTCCCCTTCTTCCTCCTCTTCCTCCTCCTCCTCTTCTACTTCCTCCTCCTCTTCTTCCTCTTCTACTTCCCCCTCCCTTCCTCTTCTTCCTCTTCTACTTCCTCCTCCTCTTCTTCTTCCTCCTCTTCTTCCTCCTCCTCCTCCTCCTCTTCTACTTCCTCCTCCTCTTCTTCCTCTTCTACTTCCTCCTCCTCCTCTTCTTCCTCTTCTACTTCCTCCTCATCTTCTTATTTTTCTTCCTCCACCTCCTCCTGTTCTTCTTCTTCCTCCTCCTCCTCCTCCTCTTCCTCCTCCTCCTCCCCTTCTTCTTCCCCTTCTTCCTCCTCTTCCTCTTCTACTTCCTCCTCCTCTTCTTCCTCTTCTACTTCCCCCTCCCCTCCTCTTCTTCCTCTTCTACTTCCTCCTCCTCTTCTTCCTCCTTCTCTTCTTCCTCCTCCTCTTCCTCCTCCTCCACCTCTTCATCTTCTTCTTCCTCTTACTCCTCTTCTTCGTCTTCCTCTTTCTCCTCTTCTTCTTTCTCCTCCTCCTCTTCTTCCTCCTCCTCCACCTCTTCATCTTCTTCTTCCTCCTACTCCTCTTCTTCGTCTTCCTCCTCCTCCTCTTCTTTCTCCTCCTATTCTTCCTCCTCCTCCTCTTCTTCCTCTTCCTCCTCCTCCACCTCTTCATCTTCTTCTTCCTCCTCCTCCTCATCTTGCTCTTCTTCCTCCTCCTCTTCTTCTTAATCCTCCTCTTCTTCCTCTTCTTCCTCCTCTTCTTGGCTTTGAAACTTCTCAGTGTTTCTTTTACCTATTATCAGCTACAAGAATATTAATTACATAGAAATGGAAAACCAAGGAAATCCCAACCAATGAGGACTGGATCAAGAAAATAACAGAATTTATGGACTTGGATAGGCTTTCCTACTTACTAAAAGAACAGAGTAAGGAAAAACAAACTGGAACCAACTTAGAGAGTACCTGAGAGGAAAAGTAAAACTTAACATATAAGGTACTATGAGTAAAATTGAATATAGAACATACGACGCTATAAGAAGATGTACACAATTTGTTGATTAGACCTCTGTAGACTGAACTGGAGGTCCAATATATATATTCCTCCCCCCCCCTTTTTTTTACCCCAGTGTCTCGACCCCCCCTATTTCCACCCCCTCATCCCTACCCTCCCTTCTCTCCTACTCTCCAATACACTATTACTCTTTTAATTTCCCACTTTGCTATCACGACTATTGTTCCCCCTCTTTCATTGTTAAAGGAAAAAACTCACAATAAAAATTATTTTAAAAAAAGAAACTTCTCAGTGTTTCTCAACCTTCTTGTTTTTAACAGATTTTCTTTATTGTTTTTACTTGTTATGATTGCTGAGGCATCGAATTGTTGCCAATTTGTGAACTGCTCCGAGTTGCCTCTGGACTGAGAGGGTCGGTATATAAATATAGTTAATAAATAAATAATGCCGCTACCCCTTAATCCAGTTCCTCATGTTGTGGTGACCCCCAACCATAACATTATTTGCATTGCTACTTCATAACAGTAATTTTGCTACTGTTATGAATTGTAATGTAAATATCTGATATGCAGGATGTATTTTCATTCACTTGACCAAATCTGAATACTGGTGGAGTTGAGCGGAAAATTTATTTTGTCATTTGGGAGTTGTAGTTGCTGAGATGTATAGTTCACCTACAATCAAAGAGCATTCTGAACTCCACCAGCGTGTCGCTACTCAGGATAGATTCACCTTGTTCAAGACACCACCACACACCAAGGCTGTAGGTTTTGTAGTTTATTGAGAAAAAGCAAAATCCAAACAGGGAAATAAAGAAGTAAAGTTCAATGAGCAATACAGAGTCTTAAAGTTCTCAGTTTCCAAAGGCAAATAACATGAAGCATAGTCCTTTATTATTGGTTCAGCAAAATCCATGGCAGCAAAACAGTCTCTAAAAATCGGGATCAAAATCAAAGTCCCAAAAGTCAGAAGTTTTCCACAAATGCCAAGGTAATTCCACCGAAGTTAACAGGGTAAAAGCAACATTGGACTGACAGATAATGCTCTTCAACCAGACCATTAAAGAAGTTTCCCCAACATAAAAGCATTATGTTGACCTCTAGCTTCACGCTTGTTGGCAAGGTGTGCGCTTCTTCGAACTCTTAATTGCAACCGGTCCTCCCTAATCAAATCTCCACTACTATCTTCAAGGCCGGTTAGCTCTTTATCTTCGACCTGCTGGGCCTAGTCACCCTGGGAACCAAGAGGCCTGGCGCTCCCAGAAGGAGCCTCCACCTGGAGCTCCGAAGTTTCACTATCTTTATCTGAAAACACATTCTTTTCTCTAGGGAACAGAAATGCTGTCTCTTCTTCAGAATCAACACTGTCTGCTTCATTTGTTTCACTAGCCAGAAGTTCAGAAATCTGTAACCCATCATCCTCCTCATCCTGAGGAGGAAGCTCAGCATCAGAAAGCTCAGGCTCAGACTGAACCACAACACAGAGATGGAATTGAACCAATCTTGGTACACAGAACTTCCATAACCAACAGAAAATACTGGAAGGGTTTAGTGAGCATTGACCTTGAGTTTTGGAGTTGTAGTTCACCTACATCCAGAGAGCACTGTGGAAACAAACAATAATGTCCCGTAGCAATAATGTAATATTATGTAGTACTAGTGTTAGGAATGATGTAATAGTACTATGCTAGTTATGTATTATGTAGTATGTTACATGACTTGTAAGCCGTTCTGAGTCCCCTTCGGGGTGAGAAGGGCGGCATATAAATGTCGTAAATAAATAAATAAATAATGGATCTGGACCAAACTTGGCATGAATACTGAGATGTGAACACTGGCAGAGTTTGGGGAAAATAGACCTTGACATTTGGGAGTTGTAGTTGCTGGGATTTATAGTTCACCTACAATCAAAGAGCATTCTGAACCCCACCAATGATAGAATTGGGGCAAACTTCTACAATCAAAGGAACTATATGAAGGGGTCGCAGCATTCCAATGATGGAATTGAACCAAACTTCCCACCAGGCCTGTAGCCAGGATTTTGATTCGGGAGGGGCGGAGTTTGATGGGGGGGGGCTGAGTCTGAGTGAAAGAGGTTCTACCCTAGCAAACCTTTTGTATCGTTACCCCAATACCCCCATGCATATGGGATATATTGAGCATGGTGATCAGATCATGATATGAATAAACATAACAGTTTAAATAATGTACCAGTAAGGCCTTCTCGCGGACCACCATGAGAATTTGGGGGGGGGGTGAAGCCCCCCCCCCCCCCCCCCCCCCCCCCCCCCCGCTACATGCCTGCTTCCCACACAGAAACCTCATGACCAACAAAAAATACTGTGTTTTGTGATGGTCTTTGGTGACTCCTCTGACACCTCCTTGAGACCCCTCCCAGGTGTCCTGACTCCCAGGTTAAGAAACACTGCCTTAGACATTGCCACTGCCTCCTCCTCCTCCTCCTCCTCCTCTTCTCTGATTTGAAATTTCTTAATATATATCCATATATAAGTACTGTTGCATTATCCAAGCCACTAGGAGCCGCTAGAGAGAGAAGGATAGTCCATTTTATTGGGGGGGGGGGGAGTTGAAGGAGGAAAATCATTTCCCTCCCTTTCACTGGCTATTTGCCCGCCCCTTTCCCTTGTCCTAAACAAGAGGACAACATGGGTTGTTGGGGGAATAACAGGAAAACGGGGAAATTGTTTTCCTCCTTCAGTTCTTTCCCCCCTGTAAAATGGATTATCCTTCTCTGTCTAGCACCCCCTTGTGGCCCCTGCTTGGAAGCTTCTTTAAAAGGTAAAGGTAGTCCCCTGACATTAAGTCCAGTCATGTCTGACTCTGGGGTGTGGTGCTCATCTCCATTTCTAAGCCGAAGAGCCAGCGTTGTCCGTAGACACCTCCAAGGTCATGTGGCCGGCATGACTGCATGGAGCGCCGGAAGCTTCTTTACTTATTTATTTAATGTAGTTCTACTCGGCACTTCTCGCCCCCGAAAGGGATCTCAGGGTGGTTTACAACCTATGGCAATAATTCAATGCCAAATTCAGACAATAACTGTATAATATAATATAATATAATATAATATAATATAATATAATATAATATTTATACAGTATTATAAAACAATATTATAAAACTGTAAATACATATACATATCAATTATAAATAAT